CTAGCTCCGCAAATTTCAAGACCCGCCGCTTCAAGCGATCTTTGGTGAACGTTCAACTGAAAGAATTGTTTTTATTTATTTTCACGGGAAGATTTCCCATTAGATTACCCCGAGAATAGGTAAACACTGCAGGTAACAGAAGAAATACAAACGGAGGAAAATTCAAAATGAGAAACTTACAAGACTTTGTCAATACATTGCTTGATGCCTCTTTAATTACTTCAGAAAATTAAATCAACAATATTCTGCGGAATTTGATAAATTTAGGTCGTCCCATAAGTTCCTGCCGAAAGTGAAAAATATTTGAATGAAAATCCAAGGAAATTCCAAACAACTTTGTGGAACGAGAAGGTCCTTAGGTTTAAGGAAATACTGATCTAAAATTACAAAATTATAAAATTCGACAGGAACTTCTGGAATGTCCTAATCATACGAAAACGTTCTAATTGCATCTGTGCGAAGTGAATTTGTATCGAAACATAAAGCTTGTTTCAGTGCAAAATTTTAATACGACAATTAAGAGATAGGAATTAATTAAAATATTTTTAAACGTTTCTCAAGTCGCCTACCAGCCAGATCTCTCTTGATAAATTTAGTAAACGAACCAGAGACGAAGTTTATCAACGTTTCAGTGTTTACACACGCGATGATTAAGATAGTCACGGTTTGAGTAGAATTCGTGTCATTGCTTTCGTGTATCTTGATAAATTTCGCAATATCCTTTCACTCAGGAGATTTTCACACGCGCCTCCTGTAACGTGTGCGCATTGTGCGAATCATGTGATATCGGTAATTATCAGAGTTCGAATAAGCAATAATTTCCACGATTTTAAATGTTCACTTCGATCGTGTGTGTGTGTGTGTGTGTGTTTATACAACGCATTGCGCTAAATCGTAATCCACTGGAGAGAATTCATTTTCTTACACCAATGTACACGTATCTATATATTATTTAAGTAATATTGATAAGAGTAAATTTTAACAGCAAGTGATCTTTAATTTATGATAAATTTACGTTCCCATTTTATCCTGAAAGAACTTGATATCCGATTCAGTTGTTCTTTTATTACTAAAATTTAGTTAGATTCAGAATGAAATTCTGTTAACAGTATTGTCTTGAAGAAAGAAAAACAGAAACGTAGAATTTGAAAAATCATTATGAAAAACTGTGGCTAACAAATTACCAATAGTTCTTGAACATGAAATTCTGTCTATCATAAATCCTCTAAATAGAACAGAATGCCGCCTACACGGTGCACGATAATTGCTAAACACTGCTCTGCACAATAATAACACGTTATTAGTAGGGTTGGGTCGTAAATAACGTCTGATGTCAGCAGCGTGTAGTTTCTGTTAACATTATGCTAGCGATATTCTAAGGAACAGTCGCGACGTGTACGTGAAAAACCATTACTAATCGAGAATTATCGAGCAACACAATAATACAAACCAACAGACAATTGTGAAAAATGAAAATCTAAGCGCTTCTATAATACTAATCAGACACATAAATTCGTGTTAACCTTGTTCGATTGGACGTTCAAAGAATTTTATACGAGAGATACCGATGAGCACCTAGATATAATTCACGCTAACAAGCCATCGACATTAATAGCAAACACATTCTTCGTTAAGATGCTGTGCAACAATGTTTACAGCCAAACAAAGTATTATTTATGACCCAGCACTACGTGTCTATTTGACTCATCTCGTTTATTATTCTAGTACCGTGTGAATCTCATTGACAGTCATTGACAGTCATTGTTATCAGGCTCTCAGGGTTTAATAAATACAAAGTTCACTCGATGATACACGAAACTTTACTACTGTACTTACGATCAAAATTCATTTTCATCGAACGAACACTAACGATACAACGCCACAATACGTGGTTCAATTTCATATAAAAATGATATTTCAAATCTCTCCATCGTGTGATACAAGAGAATCGACCAAGGTACCTCTATCTCCTCGCGCAAAGTGAAACGAAACCGATGTAAAGTGCTTCAACGGCTAAGACCGCAAAGGGTTAAATCCTGCCACAAAGGCAAAGGGTTAAACAGACAGAACAGATCGATGGCCATTTCGAATAGCAAGATCCCAAGTGACATCGATATCAACGTCCCTCAAGAGCACGCAAAATATCACAGACCCAAGAGAGGACCGCGGGCAACGAAATGCTCGTCGATGAAACGCTTCGACGTCTGTCTGCAACGACGCCGACAATTCCAGGGATTTTACCACCCTCCGTCCACCCCCGTTCCACCCCTATCGACCTGTCTGCCAGTCACTCGACGAATCTGTCGAGCTAGAACGCGACGTCGTCGTCGTCGTCGTCGTCGTTGGTTGACGTTTAGTAGGTAAATCGTACGAGCGACATCCTTAGAAGAGGGGTAACCTCCATTGAGCACATACCGACGCCAGGCGTCGGCGTCCATTGTGTCCCCCACCCAGTCCAAGCAGACTGCAAATAGCGCGAGAGCTATGCTATGCGCACTGGCATCGTCACGGCCGGTCGCAATGAGACCAAATAGGACGTAATGCTCGCTATTCATTAGATCCTACGGATGCAAATGCCACGCTGGGTCATGGCATTCTGCTCGAATTTTTTTCGACCGCGTCGATCTGCCCCGATACCATCGAGAGCGCGCGCGACACGACAAGCCAACTATTCGGCCCGCGGAGGATCGAAAGATGGCAGCCAGCGGAGCGTCGGGACACTCAGTCGGAGAACATTCTTCGAGATGAGTGCATAGAGAGATGACGATGGTGTTTCGACAGAGAGATCAGTTAGGGCTTTGTCGTTTTTCTTACTTGGATTGGTACAATTTTTCATTTGTATCCGAGGGAGTTAACCGTTTCGCTGCGGCAAATTTTAGTACACAACGCGCGTCGCAGACTCAGATATTTCACAAGGAAAAATGATTTACACTCATTTGCCGGCAATTGAACCAAAGAAACAGAGTAATGTAACGGAAACGAGACGGACAAAAATTTTCATTGAAATGTCTATATAGAAACAAAGCTCCAAAGGCAGATACAAATTAATTTCTTGTTTAAAAGCAAGTAGAAAAGAAAATAATGGAAAATATCTGTTTATATTCGTAATTAATTTGTTTAATTATTAACAGACGAATGTCAGTCATTTCTCATTGTACCAATAGTACTAATTATTTACTACCATCTCTGTGAAAAATCTACAACGCGAAATAAATTCTAATTAAGACTGTACGAAGACTTTTTCGACCGAGCGAATCGTACGAGTAAATGGCGAAGTGCAGCCATGGATGCTGTAACGAAAGCTACCGATAAATCACGTTTGTTCAGCATACAAGTTGCAAATACTACCGTAAATCACTTTTTAATAGACGATTTAGTACACGAGTTGAAGAAATTTTTTTCCAACGACTAAACGAAACTTCTTCTATAAACGTGCGAGATACTCTTTTTACACAGAATTCGTTAAATTTTCAAATTCTTCCAGCTACGTGATCCACGCTATACATGGATTATCCCACTTTTTCACTCATAAATTCTGCAATTAACAATGCTAGCCACGATTCCGCGAAAGCAAAGATATCTAATTACTATCCCTGACGACTCAATCTTTCCGTCCAATTCCCGAATTAGCAACGAACGAAGTAAGAAAATCTTGATCTTGCAATCCTCTGCTTAGCTGTGTGTCTCGTCGCGATACACCAGGTCGCCGAGGATTTCGCGGAAGGGCGTGAAGCAGCCGCGAGCTCAGACAATTGATGTCAATTGCTCCACGTTGTCATCATACCTCGATCAATTTTCCAGGACGCGTTCAAAAACCGAGAAACAAAGACTTGCGCGTGTATACGAGTACTGTGCGAACACGAGAAGACGACTAGCGTGACGGTACAGTTGCAAGAAGAGGAAATAGAGTCCAGTGCCCTTCTGCCGGGCAAAGGGCTAGCGACGTCACACATCTTGGCATACAAAAATCCAAAATGATTCTTCGTTAGGATTGTTGGTTTGTTACGAGAAATAGAACGCGTGTGTGTAGTGGTAACAGCGACAATGATCAACATACTGAGACAGGTTAATATAAACATATACACTACCGGTTTTCATCAATATTAAATCTGTTGCTAATTTTTTAAGGATTTGAAGTTTATCTCAATTCTACATTCATCAATTGATTCGAATGATAAAAAATTCTCAAAGTCTGTGACTTTTTTCTAGAAAGTTTTGCGTAAATTCCAATGCTCGGTGATTCCAAGCTTTTGGCCGGTAGTGCATGTATAGAAGAATGACACAATAAACATCTGCTTTGTTTTCTTTAGCGTCTTGCCGAGCTCTTATCATTGCGTTGTGACGTGCCTTTCTCGCGTGTAAAAATAAACAATAGTTTATCATTGAAGTACCACCTTTTAATTTATTGCCTAAATCCAATAAGCATGAATATTGTTACGGTCAGAACCAGAGTAGAAAAAAGTGGGGGCACTGTGAAGAACACCTTTTCTCGTCCTTTGACCATTTCAACCGACGACAAAAATACATATACCCCGTCTTTACGATTGTGTAAGAGGTAGTTAGGTCTATATTGGAAATAAAAGTCTCCTTTTATATGTCGGAAAGAAGTCTTTTCTGGACTCCCAAAAAGAGAAAGCTGGGGACCGCTGTTTATGCTATTGTATTGGAGTGTAGAGTGTCTGGACTCAAAGACACTAGACTCTTTGTTTAGAAAAAAAAGACATTTTTGTTCACAGACGGTATGTTTCATCTAGTGCCCTTTAAAAAGTAATCCAACAGTCTCTGTTACACTGCAACCAATCAGATTCCCTCCGCCAGCCAGCATCTCATCCCTGCACCCAAGATGAAACCGTTAGCCGCGTGGTTCGTCGTCTCGAATGTGGAATATTGCGCGCCTCGACGTCGATTAATTCCGCGCGCATAATCCCGCTTCGGCGATTATTCGAGGAACTCGGAGGACGTGAAAATGTGTGGAACGGAAAACCGACCGACAACGTCAACAGGCTGCATAATTTCAGCCAGCCTCTGTTCGTTTAGCCGGTGGCTATCGAGTGCT